CCGCTCTTCGCGCTTCCTTTCTGGTGTTCCGCGTCTACAAAGCTTGCAAAATTGGCCATGGAGGTCTCTGCGGCGGAGGATCTCGGAGCTCCGGAGTCGTGGGAGGTCGCCGATTTGGACGAGTCCATGACTCGGTTGATGCTCGCTTCTTCCTCTTCCAAGAAGGAGTCGGCCAGGCCTTGCGACGAACCCAACGATCCCTCGGACTCTTCTTCTTCTTCTGCTGCTTCTGCTACGCCTGGGGCTCCGGCCGAGAATACTTCTTACGAGGATGTCGTCGGTCAGGTCGACCAGTTTCTTCGCGAGGCGTTGCAAAACCCTAGGGAGCGCTTATCGAGTAAGTCATGTGAATTTGATATACAAACGTCATTGTTCACACCGTGTACATCTCTACATTATAGCGTATGTGTTTTTGGTTCGAACTCTGCAGACTATTTTTATGGGTTCTTTTCCCCCCCTAATTTTGAGTGGTTATAATGCAATTCTAGCAAAAAAGGGGAAAAAACTGCCATAGATATTGACGAAGAGTGTTCTATTAAGCGAGTTCATGTTGAATGCTTTAGAGAGAGAGAGAGAGAGAGGGTTTTCTGAGATAATAATGAAAGAATATAGAGAGATGGGGGTTGGGGAAGAGGAGTCATTGTTTACATTAAAATTGAAAGTCAAGCACAGAATAATGGTGCGCAATATTGCTATTATCTTAGAGTTTGGCCCCATTTTTTTTATTTGTTGTGCCAACTGGCGGCGGCAGTGGCGGCTGCAGTGGTGGCAGCTAATGTGTACCTGTGGCCCCCACGCCTCCTACAGGCAGCGTGAACTCTGATTTGACCTAGATATTGAGCACCATGATTAATACCGTAGCCATCAGTGTATTATCTTCTATTGGTGGCTGGTGATATTGCAGTCTTGAAAATAGTTTCCAGATGTACTGCCTTCACTACCTACATTGTCAACATCTCCGCTCCGTCATCAATATAGTTTGTTATTCAAGCATGCCTCTTTCTTTGCTTTAATTAAATAGGTTATGCAGGTGGTGATTGTATTACAATTCTCTCTCTCTCTTTCTATATATATATTATATGTATATATATATATATTTTCTAATAGCGTCATAATTGTGTAGTTTATTTCTTTCTTCTGTGTAGTTTTAAGGATGGAACAAGATGTTGAGAAGTTTATTCACGATCCTACTCAGCAGCAATTAGAATTTCAACAGTTGCCGACTTCTTACTTGCGGTTGGCTGCACACCGTGTTGCGCAACATTACTCACTTCAGTCAATGGTTTTGCTAGATAATAACTTGGCTGATGGCTCTGGTTCCAGGATTATTGTTCGTAAAACAGCTGAGTGTCGTCTTCCCATGATTCGCCTTGCAGACATTCCTGTAAATTTACCTTCAGAAGACACTGGTGTCATTAAGGTTGCAATTAAACAGAGGCCACAGAAGAGGTCTCAGAGTGCCAAGAATGCAGATTCAAATTCAGTAAAGTCAAACAATTCTAAAAGTGTTGAAGAAAGGAAAGAGGAGTATAACAAGGCTCGTGCTCGAATATTTTCTGGCAATATTACAAGTGCTGGTGCAAGTGGGAGATCAGAAAATGAACTAAGGCTGCAGGATATTCCCCAGTATGGTTCATTGGCAATTCCGAAGATGGAAGAAAAACCTGGATTGGGTGTTTCTGATATGAGTTCTGGTAGGGGTCTAATTGATTCTTCGACAACTAGTGGTAGGACAGCTAGAAATAGGATAGAGAAGGATCCAATTGGTAGGTACAGACCAAATAATAGGGTAGCTATATTTCGAGACCGTGAAGTCGACCGCAAAGATCCCGACTATGACAGGAGCTATGACAGGTATTGCTGTCATTGGTGTCTTCTTCTTTTTTCCTTTGTGTGTGTGCGTGCGTGTATCTGTTAAGGTGAATTGTGGCAGGGGGCTGGGGGGATAGACCTCTTTGTCTAGGAACCCCAAAAGTTAATTAAAAGATGCTCGGATATGAGGCTGTATGATCTTGATTAAATAGGAACATTCTGTCATTATATATATATATATATATATATATATATATATTTATAAGAACATTCTGTCATTCTGTGTATGATTATGATTCTTATTGCGTCCAAAGATTAGTACTATTTAGTTGTCACTGGTAGTTAGGTTTTACGGTTAATTTTCTTTTTCAGGTATATGCAAAGATTTGATCCTGGGTTTGGGTTTAATGGAGGACCGTATACAATTCAGCCCATGTACGCGCCTGCAATAAACTACAACACCGAATTTCCACAGCTTGGTTCGACTCATAGACCTCAGATTTCTGCGGAACCTCAGCCTTGTCCACTTCCTCAACACATGCCTGGTCCATGGGCTGCACCATCAGCCCCCGCAGGGATAGGGTATGCTCATCCAGAGGCCATAATTGCACCATTTAATCCAAATCCTGTTGGTGCACGCTCCACATCTGGCATGTATCTGCATTCCTCCCAATATCCTTGCCAGCACCCCGGAATACCCTTCATCCATCCGCATGAAAATATTCATCAACCTTTTTCTCAGGTATGCAAGTGCTCTATTCTCTTATTAAATGTTAATAAATTAGCCATGCCATTTATCATTGTTCTTATTATTATTATGATTACTACTATTGTTTTTATTATTTTGTAAAGAGCAGTTTCTTCATGCTTATGTTTAGAAGATAAGGTCCTATTCCTTTTTTAAGGAGTTTTTGAATGCCTCATTTGGTCTCCTTCTATCTCTCTGCTGCTAAAACCAGCTTGCAGTGAACGGAGACCCTAATGATCATTATCCTAGGCATAGATGCTACGAAGACCAAAGGTTTCAATTCAAGGACGTTTAGATTCATTGTGTTACTCATAAATTGGAATGTTCTGGACTCCTTGGCTTCTTCTTTTTTCTTGAGCCTCCAAAACTCATCCTTATCGTGATTGCTGGTGAATAACCAAATCAACAAACTATAAATTGCATATGTGCATATAAGAGGGATGATTATGATGAGATAAAACATTCAATTTTCTTGAGTATTGCTTACTGGAAAACCGGCTATTGTCTCATAGGCGTAGATATGATATCTAACACAATTATCTGATTTTCATTTCAGTGTCAAGTATATAAATTATTATTATATTTCTGGTGTTTTACAGTCTCATCAACAACAACCTGATGCAAGTTTTGGATTAGCCCGGCCCCGGTGAGGGGCAGGGGCCATGCCTGCACCCTGCCAGCTTGATGTTGAGCTTGAATTATATGTTGTTGACATGCTCTAGAGGCTCCCTGCGTCCCAACTGGCAGGCGTGCAGGCATAGATAACCGAGGTGGGGAATGGACATTTTGTTCTTATGGAAACCTGCATTTTCCCATTCCACCATTCTCGGTTTTGAAAGGTGCTTCTTGCATCTGAGGAATGATGAAGAAGCGCACTGGGTTTGGCAACAAAAATTCCTGGGTGTAATCTCAGATGGCTTTGTTTTGCCACTGATTATGACGAAACAGAAATTACAGCGCCAGGGAAGCATGTGCTCAGCCTGGACGAAGGTATGCTCTTCTTCTTCTTCTTCTTGATGCTTGGTTTGTTACTTCTGGTTCACGGCTTCAGCAAGAGTCTTCTTCTTGTTCACAGCTTCAGTAAGAGCCAAAAGACCGCCATATTGGAAGACACTGGTGCAATCCATCTATATCGGCTATTAGCAAGTAGGCGTGTGCCTCCGTGATTGACAAGAAGCTCTGACAGTCGCTTGCAATTGCTGCTATAGACTTCAACGCTTGATTGCAGAAACAGAACACGCAAACCACATTTGTGTCGTATGGCTCCGTTTTGTTGTGAAATCTGTTCCTTTGATTATCATCTGCATTTTATTACTTGATCATCATTTCTTTTTGATGGTTTCTACTTTCCATAGGAGAATTTGCGAAAATAACATGCTTTAATTTAAACCAAATAAGGACACAATATATAAAGGTCCCAGGTGAAAAACTATTTTTAAAAGGATAAAAACGATCGACTTAGCTTCTCGTGTCAAATTTAAGGAGGTGCGTGTTTGTTTGCTAAAAAATTTTCGGACTGGATTAAAACCATAAGCACCAAGACGTTGCTAGCATTTTTAGAGGTAAAACGCTCGAACTGCATAAAAATGAGTTGTTTTTGAACTTTATGAAATAATTATTATGTATGAACGTGACATGTCCGATATTGGGGTTCCTTAATTGACATTTAGGGCTTGTTCGGTTGTATTTTTGAGTTATGGTGATTTGAGTGTAGATCTTGAGTTGAATTCGAGTTATAATTTGAGTTGAAGTTGTAACTTGAATTTGTGTTTGGATGTACACATTTGAGTTATGATTTAAATTGATAATTTAGTTGAATTTGTATTTTAGTGGGTCAAAACTTGAGTTTGTATTTAGATAGTATTTTAATAAAAACTCAATGGTGATGAAAATTTTTAATTGGGTATATGAGTGGAGTTTTATTCGTCTTTTTGTTGTGAACGCATAAAAAAAAATCATCTCAATCGGAGTTAAAACGAAAAAGGTACGACGTTTTTAAGAATAGAAAAAATACTGTTCATTAACTTGAGTTTGAGTTTAAGAATTTGAGTTGAAAGGGAAACTTGAATTCAGATTTTAGCCTCAAATTTAAGTTAAAATTCAAGTTCAAATTCAAATTTTACAAACGAACATGAATTTAAAAAAGTTGTAACTTGAGTTAAAATTTTTTTTTTTTTGAGTTTTATTCTAAAAGAATAAGCCCTTAGCATCTAGGTTTTTTTTTTATTTTTTATGTTTAAGCATTTCAATAAGTAGATTTTACAACTAAAGAAAATATATCCGAGTCATTGGATAAAATAGAGGCCTAAAATCTTTCGACCTAGGGTGCTTTAAAAGATTAGCGTTGAAGTTGTTGCCCCTCGTCTCGTAACAACTTTTTAGGTACTGCTACCAAAAGACCATGTTTTACAAGGCGCGGGTTGTTTTTGACAAGGCAATTGAGTGCTGTTTAGCGGTTGTTTAACAGCCAGTGCGGGTTGTTTTTGACAAGGCAATTGGGTGCTGTTCAGCGGTTGTTTAACAGTCAGTGTGGTCACCGAATTGACGAACATTGGTTTTTGGAATGTGAGATTGAGCATTGAGCTGAGGTGGGAAATCACGGCTGGTTCACCGACTGAAGTTGGGCGGTTTCGGCGGCCAGTTGGTGCCGGTTTCGAAAAAGAGACGATGATGATAGAAGTGACGATGACCACGGCGTTGAGCAACAGCAAGGGAAAGACGGCGAGTTGGCGATTGATGGGGTGAATACAACATCAAACTTGGAGAAGATGGGGCCAGCACTTACTGTTCTAAGGTAGGGGGTAGGGTCTCTTATGGTATATAATATACATACAGATATATATATACATATACATATGTATTGATAGATACATAGGAATAGGTCTAGTTAGGCGCTTAGAATTTGAGCCTGACCAGTCAGCACCTTTAAATCTTACCATTAGATTTGTAGGCTCTGATTGAAAGAGATTGTGTGAATCGCCAAAGACAGTAAGCTAATTTTGTAGGTCAGATAAAACTAATATAAAAAAATTCGTGAAAGAATATGAAATAATGTAAAGTAGAAAATAACAAACAATTTACTATACGGAGTAGGGGTGTAATTCGGCCGGATAGGGTCGGGTTGAGCTGAAAAATTAAGTCAATCCAATCAGTGCGTGTTGAGAAAACTTTGGGTCGCAATACTCTCTTAATCCCACAAACCCATAACCTCTCGGGTAGGCTCGGGTTACTCGGGTTGGTGAAAACCAATTTTAATCTATGACTTCATACATCTCTTTAACAGTCCAAAAGCATAAAAGCCATAAACAGCCCATAAACATTAACATAACATCAAACATACTTCTTAACAGTCAACAAAGTATAGAAATAAAATTAACAATACGTCAAATAAACAGTCTATATAGAGATAGTCCAGCAAAATAGGAAATTTAGTCCACTCCAAATAGTTTAATCCAAAATAATAACACCTTCATTCCCAACTTGCCCCTCATGTGTTGCAACAGAATTTGACAAATCTTGAGAAGAAAACATAACAAAAAAAATCATCAGAATCAAGTTTAGGACAACAAAATAAACAACAAGGAGATGAAATAAAGTTAAAAAAAAAAGTAAAACGTAAAAATATTACCCAACTCAATATTTTCATATTCAGGAAACTCTTCCATGTCAATAAAATTGATATGGTCACGACTACGCAACTAATTTTGTGTACAAATCAATACCTCAACCATCTTGGGGCTCAATGAACTCCTAAAGGAATTGAGGATGCGGCCTCCGTTACTAAAAGTAGATTCTGAGGCTACCGTTGAAACAAGAATGACAAGAATGTCTCTTGCAACGAGTGAGAGAACCTTGTAATTAGTTGCATTATTCTTCTAGCAATCTAAAACATCAAAATTTGACCAATTTGGATCCTCTATAAGGTCTGTCAAGTATCTGTCCACATCATTTTTATACTCATTCACATTCTTCTCTTTCATTTTCCTAACAAAGGAGCTCCACAAACACCCTTTTCTTTATGCTGCCCTTTTTACCTCCGTTGTACTTGTTGTTGCCGCTTCTCCACTACTTTCATTAGCTACAAATTCACCATTCTCCCCACTATAAACCCCATGCAACCGGTACATAGTATCCTTCACATTCTTTGATAATGTTTCAGAAGTACAAGAATCATACACTATAGAGAAACAATATGTCAAATAATCCATTTTGTACCTAGAATCAAGTACAACAGCCACAAAGAGAAGACAATTTATATTCTCAACATTCCCCTAATACTTGTCATACTTCTTTTTCATACTCACAGCCATAGATGAAAGCATTGAATCCTCTTGTTTGCTTAATTCAGATAGCTGGTTTTATATCTCACAAAACTCATGAAAGTAAGAATTTGAAGTGACATTCAAAGTAGCACTAAACTTCAAAGTTATATCATAAAAAGCCTTCAGAAATTTCACAAACACCTTAACATTCTCCCAATGATCATCAAGTGGCGGGCTAATCTTCCGTTTCCCCCCTCATCTTCCCAAAAATAAGACACGAACTTATCATTTTCCTCTTCATATCTTTCAAAAGCTTTTTGAAACTTAATGGCTGCATCTAACATCATATATGTGGAGTTCAATCTAGTGAGATATCTAGGCATACGAGACCTTTGTATTCAATTTTCTCTCGCTCCACACATGACTTGAATTTCAGCAACCTAGCCGGCGAAGACCTCACATACCTCACAGCGTTACGAATGACAGCTATGGAATTATGTAGAGCTTTTAAACCTTCATTGACAATCAAGTTGACTATATGGGCACAACACCTAACATGCAGAAATTTCCCACCTAAAACAACCACTTTCCACCCCTTAATCTTCCTTCTCAAGTAGGTAATTATGGAGTCATTTGAGGATGCATTATCAACAGTCATAGTGAAGACTCTCCTAGTACCCCAAGCTTGCAAACATGACTCAATGACTTTACCAACACTCTCTCCCTTGTGGCTTGAAATTTGACAAAAGTTTATAATCCTTTTTTGTAAAGTCCACTCACTATCAATGTAGTGTGCAGTTAGACACAAATAATTAATATTTTGCAAGGATGTCCAACAATCAGTTGTTAGGAAAATCCTTTTGACTACCCTTACTAAATTCAGCCCCCAGTTTCTTCCTCTCTTCCAAAAAAAGTTGGTAAATGTCTTTGGCAATCGTAACACATGAGGGGATAGAGAACCTAGGCTGCATCACTTGATAAAAATTATTAAATCCTTCACCTTCAACAAACCTAAATGAAAGCTCATCTACAATCACCATTTCTACTAACGCTTTTCTACAATGCTCCTTGTTAAAGCCTATAGCAACAAGATTACTCCCAGTTTCAGTATTTGTTTAGAAACTCACCCTACAAACACAAATAGGAAACCCCCCCACCACTTCCTTCCCTTTTTTTCCCTCAATCTCCTACAAACAGAAATATTACTTGAACAAATTTTGATTCAAACAATATTTTGTAGTTGTATCAGGACTATCTAGTTCAACACTACTATAATTGTTAATAGTAAAACCAATTTCTAGATGCTTGGAACTGGCAAGTGGCAGAAATTAAAAGAATATAAATAATGTCCATGTCCTCAAAGCTCAAAGTTGCATGTCTATAACATGTGATAATTATAACCAATTTGTTTAATGAGCAAGTTTAGAATTAAGTTTAGACAAACCTCGAATTAGGCAATCTGTTCAATGACCAATCTGTTCAATGAGCAAGTTTAGAATTAAGTTTAGACAAACTTCGAATCAGGCAATCAAAATTAAGAAAACAAAGTTCAGCAATGAACAATCAGCCAAAAGAAAGGAAAGAAAACAAAGTTCAATCAAGGGGCACAGAGAGTTTAGAGTCTCTTACCGATTGTCTTCAATGAAGATTTCAGATAATCTGTTCTAATAAAAGACACGAAGAAGAAGAAGAGGAACACATATTAAGGAACGAGAGAGTGCGAGACTGAGGGTGACGGGGAGGCGAGATGGAGGCGGAGGCGAGATGGAGACGGAGGCGAGATGGAGGCGGCGGAGGCGAGATGGAGGCGGAGGTGAGATCGAGGGAGGCGACTGGCGAGGAAGGATTTGGGAAGGATTTGGGAGGCTTGAAGTGAACTGGAGGTGAGGAAGGATTTAGGAAATTAGGGTTATGCGTTACAAAGTTACGGAGTATTCACTCAGAAACGGTCGGGTTGGGCAACTTGGGTTAAATGTTGCCCTCCCTGTGGCCCAACCCGCACAGTGCGGGTTGGGCCTATTTGAATCCGATTATATATATATAT